CTTCACCCCGGGCTTCCACAGCCCCGGCCGGCCCTGCGGCCCTTTGATCCTCAGCTTGTCGCCAGCAGGGCTCTCCCTCCGCCCTGCCCGAGGCTCTCTGCAGGCTCCGGTCCCCGAGCAGCAGCAGCAGCAGCAGCAGGAGCAGCTCTGCCCTCCTCGTTGTCGCCTCTTGGTGGCCTGCTTTCCACGAGCTCGTCCTCGTGACTTCTCAAACCACCCCGATATTCTTCGCCCCACTCCTTCCACTCTTAAAGAAGCTTAATTGGGCACCAGGTGGGGGGGGGAGGGTGAGCAGAGCTAAAGGGAAGTGGGCTGGATTTGAAAAATGTGCCCGTGCAGTCTAGTTTAACTGCTAGCTGGTTTCTTTCTTTCTTTTTTCCTTCCCGGTAAAGTTCCGAGTGTATGTGTTGTGTGACAGACACCCCTTCTCCCTCCGGAGTAGATCGGAACCAAAACATCATGTGACCCTGGAAAGCCGAGAGAGGAGGAAAGGATCTGCTTGGCGCCTGTGCGACCTTGTAAACAAGAGTTGTTTGAGGGCCGGTGATGTAGGGTTTAGTGACGCATCCCGTACATCTAAGTACAAAAGTGGAGAAGGGTGGGTAGGAAGGCACCAACAGGATGAGAATTGGTGGAAGGAAGCAAGCTAGCTATGCCCGTGGGTGGAGTGGAAGACTGGGGAAGGAGGGAAAGAACTTGGAGTTACTGTGTGGTGTGGACTAAAGTCATAATGCTATTTGTCTTCGTTAACCAACTTGGGTTTGCACTGCAAAATTGTTGGGTTGTGGAATTAAATCTTGTATCCCAGAAATAGTCGCAGATGGTCACTGGCATTTAAATCAAAGGATCACCACTAAGACACACCCCACTTCCTTGGAAGGAGGAAAGAAAGGCTCCAAGCCTCTGTGTGAGCTGTTTCTTAACACCATTATCTTTATAAAATGTATTAACTAAGCATTTTTGTTGTTGGAGATAGGGTCTTATGTAAATCATACTTGCCCTGAATTCCTGATTCTCCTTCACTTGACAAGTACTGCTGGGATTGCAAGTGTACATTATCATGCCTGGCTGAAAATTTTGTTTTTTGTGTTTTTTGTTTTGTTTTGTTTTGTTTTTTGTTTTGTTTTTTGAGACAGAGTTGCAATGTGTGGTTCTAACTAGCCTGAAGCTCACTATGTAGGCCAGTCTGGCCTTGGACTCACAGAGATCCACCTTCCTCACAAGTGCTAGGGTTAAAAGCCTGGTCTCAAGTTTCTTGTTGTTTTTAACAGTCATAGTATAGACAGTTTTTTTTTTTTTAAGACTTTTTTTTTTGTGTGTGTGTGTGGGTATGCGTGTGAATGTAGGTGTCCTTGAGTCCAGAGGGATCTGATCGCCCTGGAGTTGGAGTTACAGGGGGTTTTGAGTTGCCATACATGAACACTAGGAACTCAGCACTAGTTCTCTGCAAGAACAGTGTGTGTTCTTAATCTCTGAGCCGTCTCTCTAACCTTAAGTTGATTCAGTAATTAAAAAAAAAAAAACTTTAATTTACTGGTGTGTGTGTGTGTGTGTGTGTGTGTGTGTGTGTGTGTGTGTGTGTATCACAACATGGAAGACATCTGAAAAACCGTTGTGGAATCAGTTGTCTGTGCCACCTTTATGTGGGTTCTGGAGGGAATGCATGTTTCCGGGCTTATGCAGCCAGTGCCTTCACCCATGGAGTTATCTCATGGGCCCTACAGTTTTTATGTTGAAATAAAATAGAAATTTGTGTAGTTGGGCGGGCAAGAGTGCTCAGTAAGGTGCTTGCTGCAAAAGCACGAGGACCTTGGTCCCACCCCACAGACCCCATAAAAGCCAGGAGTGTTGATGTGTGCCTGTACTCCCCTCTGGAGAGGCGTGTGACCCCCCCCACCACCAGCATTTCTAAGTTTTAGCTGTTTTTCCTCAAACTTTAAATTTTTGAATATTTTAAACTTACAGATAACTTTCAGACTAGCATTGTGAATGTCTATATGCTTTGTATATGTATTGCATTTAAACACTTGTCTCTGTTGAATACACTTTCCCTTTTTTATTCTTCAGTACTCCACAGTAAAGAGCAGGCATCATTACACACTACTCTCCTAGGTGTTTTCCCACTCATCTCCCCCTAGAAAAAATGATTGTCTTTATGCATTGATTTTCCTCTTTGGTGGAATTACAAGCATTTTCTAAAATAGAATTGTGGTATTACTCTCCTAAACATATGTAAATTCACCTTTATTTTCTATGTTAAATGTTTAAAAATATCAACTTATTCACAGCTTTAAACTTCCTATTGATATAAGAAAAAAATTACATAAACCAAGCATCAGTATAGATCTGGAGTTTATAACAGTGTTTTGGTCCTTTGTTTCATAACTACATTTTCCCTTTTTTTCCTCTTTTGTGTGTGTGGGCTGACCACTCAGGGCTCAGTGAAGAGACAAGCACTGTATGCCTGTAGTACATGCACTCCAGAGGGAGAAGAACCAGCAGGAATTTGTCTAGCTTGCAGTTATGAATGCCATGGAAGTCATAAACTGTTTGAACTATATACAAAAAGGTAAAGCAGTTTTGCCAAATGTCTCCTGAATGTTTAAATTTGTTGCAACCACAATGCCTACTTAATCTTGCTTTTCATTCAGAGTAATTGCGTGTTGGTAAAATATAATATGGGAGGGAATGGTTATTTCACAGGCCTTTTAACATTTAATTATGGTTACTAGCTCATGCTACTCCCATCCTTTCCTTTCATTATTTCATTTGTTTGTGTGTGTGAGAGTGGTAAAGATATTTGTTTTTATATGTAGTGATGTCCAGAATTGTAGTCTTTTGTTGGTATTGTTGGAAAACTCCAAATAAGATATACAAACATCAAAAAGGTCACCACTATTTAGATTCTAGAAATGAGACAGAAAAGGAAGCTATAATTGCATTAGAAGAGTAGTTAATTTTAAAAGAAAACTTAAATATGTTCTTCCTCTTTTCTTAATAGAAATTTTCGTTGTGATTGTGGAAACAGCAAGTTTAAAAATTTGGAATGCAAATTATTTCCTGTAAGTAAGCATTGTGATTATAAATGTACTTGGGAGGGGCTGGAGAAATGGCAACCACTAAGAGCATATACTGCTCTTTCAAGGATCCAGTTCAGTTTCCAGCATCTACAGCTACCTGTAACTTCAGCTCCAAGGGATCTGACTCTTCTGGATTCTGTAGACACCTCAGTACACACATGCATCTACACTTGTGTGCATGCTTGCTTGAGCGCGAGTGTGCGAGCGCGCACACACACACACACACACACACACACACACACACACACA